CAAATTCCTAACAAATGTAAGGTTAGAAAGAAAAGGTACTCAAGAAAAAGAATAAAATGCAGTCATTCATCTGTTGAGCAGGTTAATTTTTCGGTAATTTCTCCTGCTCGCCTAACTTCTTGCCTAGACAAATTGAAATTCTCAATGCGGTGTCCTTGAAAGGAATCTCATCCTGGTTGTGTCGGTGCGGGCTCCAGGCACTGTGTGTTTGGTCAACAAGCAACAGTGGGTGGTCAGGCTGTAGCACAGGACAAGGGCCCGCTGTGCACAGGAAAAAATGTTCAAAGGTGTTTAAGGGTGGTAAGGAAGTCTGCCGCCCTTCAGAGAGTCCGCAGGCTATAGATCAGCCTTCCCTCACTATTGTAGCCTGTGAGAAAATTGACTGTAAGATGCATAATGGATGAAAGAATACAGTAACTGTATTCACCTGGTTGCACATCTGTAGGGTCTTTTTTTTTTTAATTTAATCTTGCTCATATACACGCTGTGTGTATATACATGTAGTCTGTGTAATGACTGGTGTTTGACTTACTGTGGAAAATCGCCCTGAAAAACTACTCAGCCTGAGGTTGGTCACTTCTTAACAATTTTCTTTGTCGCTGCAAAAAGTACTGGCACAATATTATCCCCTGATCAACCAGTAGCTTTTGTAAAAAGCTTTAGCTGAATGTCACGTTAAGTGGTGCACCGGGCTGGCAGAATTGCAGAGTGGCTGAGGCTGGGTTACAGAAGGGAGGCGAGGGATGCGTGACTCCCACGAGAAACCTCCACCTGTCAGACTGTGAGGGGAAAAAAAACAAGCAGAGTTGTGGAGGAATGGATATTGCAGAACAATTTTTATACTCAGTTTGGTAATAGTTTTGAAATAAGAAAGTAAAGCTGCTTTTATATATTTAAATCTTTGACTGGTTTGCAGAGCATGGAAAAACCTATTTTGGGCAAACTTCATGTTAGTTGTCTTTTTCACTGAGGCTGCAACATGCCGCATGCAGGTAACATCTCAAAAAATGGGGTCAAGGTATGTACGTGAGCCATAGGTACTGTAGGCACATAAGTACCCTGTAGCAACTCCAGTACTGATAAACTTAGAGAAAACCTTCTGCAATTAGGGGTCAGCACAGGTGACTTTTGATTTACAGAAAGTGAAAGCACAAATTAAATAAATGACCTCAAAAAGCATTGCACTTTTTTCAGATCCTTATTTTGGTGAGATCTTACTGCACTAGAACAGAAGAGGTCTGAACAAAACGGTTGAACTATTTATATTTCACACAGTATCTGAATGGTTTTTTTGTTCTACGTACTTCTAAAATATCTGTGCGCAGAAAGTTGAAACCCAGTAAAATCCTTTTTTTTTAAAAAATTTAAAGTAATGTTAAGATCCTTAAAACTTCTTTGATCTTCTCATGATTTTACAGTTGTAAATGTACTAAGGCTTTAATTATACTTCTGGTTTGTCATGACTGACTGGTAGAAGAAGAGAATGTAGTACATTTATTTTTCCTGTGTTTCCTTGGTTAAATATACACTTGGCACTGGAGTCACTGACAGATATGCTTTATGTAGATGCTGTATTTTGGAAAAAAATACTTCTGTAACTTCAAAGATGCTGTATATTTTTTGAAAAAAAGAAGATCTGCCAGGAATCAATTGTTCAGACTGTTTATACAACATCTGAAAACCTGTTAGCACAGTAAAAAGTTAATTTCTTGAAACTTTAGATTGTTGCTGTCCTCTATTCAGGATCTAGGAATGTAGAAATAGTATACAAATGAAAAAATGAATAGGCAGTAAATTATTATTTGGGTAGTTTATTTAGGTTTATAAATATTATTGTCTACAGTCCATACTAATATTAATTCATTGTATTACGTTATGCTGCTAAGTTTAAGCTGCTGGCTCCAGAGGGGGAACGAGTTGGGATGGGAGAAAAATTGTTTGTAAGTTAACTCTCGCTTTTTTACAAGATTTATGCATTAGTGTGCAGTCTTCAAGCGCTATCTTCTGGTTGGGTGAAAGCAAAATCAGCTTTGCTAATGTAGTCCAGATGTTTATTAGTCCTGAGGGTATATGTGCTGTTGTAGTTCCCTGCTGCTGTGTTATACTTGCTTGTAATGCTAGACAACCAATTAAGAAATTAGTTCATGTTAAACTTTCTTTTCCTGGTATGGCTGCAAACTGATGATGTGGTTTTTCTGGTGGAACAAGAGAGTATTCTTTACATGTTTTCTGTTACTGGTGAATATATAAACCATTTGGGCAGCACAGGGTTAGTGTATCAGCAGCAATACAGAATTTTCAGGTTTTCAGCTACCTCAGGCAAATAGTTTTAATTGAACTAGTTCACATTAAGATGTTTTGGTAAGTGTGTCTGTTTTTCTTAATTCAGAGGTTTAATTGGCACTGTCATTTTTAGAAACCATCTGTTTACAAGAAATTCCTCATATTAACAAGGTGCTTGGAGGGTGAGAGCCTAAATTCTACGCGAGGACATCAAAGAGGGAAGTTTTGGTGTATCGTGGCTTTCTCTAATTGTAGTTTTTGTGAAGATAGCATTGCTGCACTTTTTGGTTTTTTGTTTTGGTTTTTTTAGTATGTTTTAACTAGCAATGCTGCTGACAATTCTGATTTGTCCTTGGCATACATTTTTTTTCACCCAAATAAAATGCAGATATATAGACTCAGAGTCAAATTCTTACGGAAGCCCAAGAACTATGTGAGGCACTTAAAATTTCTCAGGGTCTTCTATACAGTTTTCTTTTTATTCTGGGTAGAATCTCTGTAAGATATCGAACGCGTACTTTTTTTAATCTGGAAAGGAAGAAATTTTGTTGTTTTTACTTCATTCTGCAGGCTTACAGGAGTGTTTTCGCAGAAGTTAATGTTGTAAATTTGTAATATTAAGATATGTTTTAGAAGTCATCGGTGTTTAAATTGTAGATGCAGAAGATGCGTGACCTTACACAGATCTCTGTTACATGGGCCGTTGCATAGTATGTGTCTGTAACTATTTGCACTTGCAGCATACATACCTCATTTAAAAGCTTCTGATAGCTTTAGTTTTTTTCCTTATTATTCTGTATTTCCGTTCATTCAGAAGGAAAAGTCTTTCCCCAAATTCTTGTTCAAACTCATTGTAGAACTTCTCCATGGTGACGGTGGATAATATACTTAAATCACTGTAACAGAGTCTGTATTACTGAAAGCTCATCAATTTTAAAGGTGTCATAAATATTAGTTGTTTTTAATAAGTGGTGTGGGGTTTAAATAGTCAACAGAATCATAGTACAGGCTAAAGATAGCACAGATGGGTTCACCAAGTCAGTTAATCCAGTGTGTCTATCACGATTGTGAACTACATGGCAAATGGATCTATTTACTTAGGTGTTTTATAATGTGAACAGTAATAAGATGAATGGAGGAACCGACAGTTAGCTCGATAATGACAATGCCTCGGTGAGGCCACAGTGAAGGCCATAGGAAATCTCTTTAAGAACCGTTAAAGAATTATGGGAGGAAGAACTTCTTTCAAAAGGAACTAAAACCCAATACTGTCACCTATTGGAAGTTTGCGATAAGTTTCACAATACTTAATATTGCTCTTTAAGATCCAGCTGTTGAAGTAAAGTGACTAGGTATATCTTTACTGCCATACTGGTCTGACAGCAGCATAAATTCAGAATAAATATTCTTCAAATCCTTTCTACTTTGTGTTACTCTTGAATCTGAGTATTGCAATGCTGCAGCTGGCGCTCTTACTGTGTGGCCTTCCTGTTATTTTAAGTGAACATAGGTATTGATGAAAAAAATCAAGTGATATAAACTCAAACACTGAGGTTCTCACTGCAAAATTCAGCATGAATTACCAGGAGAGGTTTCATCTCGGTATAAGAAAGACATTTTTTTTTACTATGAGAACAATCAATCACTGGAGCAACCTCCCCAGGGACGTGGTAGACTCCCATTGCTGGAGGCTTTCAAGACTCAACTGGACAGGGTGCTAGATAATCTCACCTAGGCTCCCTTTCCTGCAAAATGTTGGACCAAATGATCTTTTGAGGTCCCGTCCAACCTAGGCTGTTTTATAATTCTATGAATTGTGATTGATTTAAGTTTAGCTGTTACAGCTCAGTTGACCGATGCTGAAATCATTTTTGATGGTTACTTTCAGAAACGTATCTGTAAAGCAGCAACTTAGACTTTAAGAGAAATATTGGCAATGTTACAGTACACTAAAAAATCATCATGGTCTGCTCATTATGATATGGTTGTTTTCCAAAACGTACATTAGACTCCAAGTATCCACCTCCATCAGATTAGATCATTGCTTAGGACTTGCTAATAGTGACCTACATATGGACAGGCATCTAAAGAAAAAAAAATAATTATTTGATAACAGTAACTGGTTCACTGGGAAGTATTTCGTGTGTTTGTGGATATGTATAAATGTGGGGTGTGTTACAGTCATGCACAAGCATACAATGTCATTAGTTCATCTGCTTCATGATGGGTGGATTCTTTCTACCTGAACTCTGCACAGGACAAACAGCTAAGTAGTAGCTGAACACTCTGCCCTTAACTGCTTCAGCTGGAGGCACAAGAAACTGTTGCTGTTGAAAAGTATATTTAGACATACAACAGGAAAAAAAAAAGTGTGTGCCATGTCACTAATGGCATAAATACATATGTATCCATGGCTTTCAAGCAACTAATTGTAGGGCATTAATTAAAGTAAAAACAGAGAAACATACAGACCAAAGAATGATTTTTCCCACACGGTACTTGTGGTTTCGCCTTTGATACAGGAGTCAATAGTGGTGTTATTGAAGAGCGTTGATGTAGATGAACAGACAGTCTAAATAAGCAAGATTAAGAATGCTTTTGCTAGATAACTTTTGTCTTGTATCACTTCAGAATTAAATTAGAATTCCACATGCAGCATGCAGTTTCATGTCAATTGATGTGCAAAATCATTATAACTTTTTTTCCCCTCTCCCCAGGCAACTCATTGCTCCACAGCCCCATGGTAGACCTGGACAGTGATGTGCGTCCATCACCAATTGGCCATCTCAGTCAAACTGCTTCGTTGAAAAGGGGCAGCAGCTTTCAGTCTGGCCGTGATGATGGTAGGCATCTGTTTTATTTGGAAAAACAAAGCTGGAGTTCCCTATGTCCAGTGTGTGGTGTAGTCAAAAAACCCACACAGATACCCACATTCTGTGTGTGTGTTTTGGTTTGTTACCAAATAAAATTCTTTCTTCTCATGCGTTACCATTGCTTACTAAAGGGGTCCTCTGTATTTTTTGCAAGCAAAGAGCAGTTCATAACTGAAATCTGCTTCTTAAAATGTAGTCAAGGTAATTAAAAGCCTCTTTTCTACAAAAGCAGAATTTTTCTTTTTGCTATACGTAACCACCTACTGCCTACCACCTTTCGCTGCTGTTAAACCTTTTGTGTGTGTTTGCTAAGATGGCTCTCCTTGGATTTGCTCCTTCTGTGACTTCACTTTTCCGGTCCTTGTTCTCTAATTCTGTAAACCCAGAAAGGGAAGCAAAAGTGTGTGACTAAGCTTGAGCAGTGTGTCCGCAACCAGATGAGCCCTTGTGTGTCATAAGTGTCTTCAGCACCCTTGTCCAGACAACTTCATCTCAGGAGTCTTTCAATGGTGACATCACAGGAGACAGAAAACATGTTTTTCACAGGATAGGTCATTTCTTACCAAAGTACTTTTTTGCAGAAAGCGGGTTTTTATGAAGAACTTTCTGGCTTTGGTCTGCTTTGATGCTTTTCTCCCAGTTCTGTGGACTTCCTTGAAAAACCATCTATAAATACCTGATTTTTTTTTTGAGCAAGAAGAGGAATGAAGGGAATCTTTCCAGAACATAAAATGAAGAATAATGAGAATTAGACATTCTTGTGCTGCCACAGTGTATCTTCACATGCAAGACAATTAAATTGCATCACAGTTTGAGGCTGAATGTTTGTATTTCAAAATACAAATTACACAGACTCTTCAAAATATACATGTATACCAAGTAATTACATTACTGTATTACTGTTACCCTTGTCCTTTCTCAGCCCAAAGCCTTGCATGAAGGTGACTAACAAGTGTTACAGAGCAAAACGGTAAATGGCTGGTGGTTGTTGGATACCATCCACTAATACACATGCCACACTTAATGTAGCAATCAATATCCAAAATCCAGTTTACTTTTTCCTTGTTTGAATTCTTTTGCATGTGTCTCTGCTTAAATAGTTGCATCTACAGAAGGCAATTTCAAGTCAATCGGTTATCTTTGCTTTTAGAGTCTTAGTTATGGATCCATAACCTTTTACAAACTGGAAAAGATAAGTCTTCAGCAAGCTTTGCAGATTCTGTAGCCAGCAGTTTAAACCAAGATTCAGAGGAAAACTGGAGGACTGGAGGATCATAATACCTTAGGAGCCCAATCCACCGCAAAGACCCTAGACTTGGAATGAGTTGCCTCTGAGTTGAGTTTATTGGTACTTAGGTGCATGTGCCCACTGCATGCTTAGGAACAGCTGAAAGCTCTACCATCCTTGCTCTTCTCTGCGTCAAGAGCCAAAGCAAACCAACCACTTACGATACCTGTGCAGGAGCTGCCATTCCAAATGTGCCATGATGTGCTCTGTTTTCAGGTTGCTTGTGCATCCTTTTTTTTTTTTTAGCAAATTTAAGGAATGGCATCTCTGGGGTTTTTTGGTGTTTTGGTGTGGTTTTTTTCCCCAGTGTGATTGACAATGATTGTCCATGAGATTGTTTGAACAAATTACTTTGAATTCAAAACTGCAGCATTCAAATAACATTCAGCTCTTGCTGAATGAATTCAAGAGGATATGTAAACAATAGCTCTAGTTTCATCTTTAGGATGTTATAGCACAGATTATAATAGAATAAATAGGATAAAAGAACATTTCTGCTTTAATATAGATTGGAGCTTTCTCTAGCAAAAAAGTCAAAATATCCTGAATTTATGGCCAGAATGTCCTTTTGACATGATGTGCAGTAGCTTCTTCTAATAAATGCCTACTGTCTGCAGACCCTGGACTAAAGCAATCTCTGAAGTGGGCCTGAAGTATGCTTCCTGGAGGGGAAAAGAATTTCATACGTGAAGTAAATCTTGGCAATGTGTTTACAGTTAGGAACAGACATCCCTGGTTATAACCTTGGGTTGGTGCTGGAGCTTTTGGCAAAGATGAGATGGTTTCTCAAAGGAGCTGAAATCTTTTGGTTAGAACTTGGGGTTTGTTGGTGTTACAGAGCCTCTGTTGCTGTAGCAGTTTTGGCACAGCCTCCTGGCATAGTCACAGCCTATGTTAGTAAGAGGAGTTTTTCTGTTACTGGGTCTAGATGGGTTCTCCGACAGTCATAAACCAAGCTGGCAAATGTAGTGCTCTGACATCTAATCTGTGTCCAGACTATGAGCTTTGCTGGTTGAACTTTCATGATGTTTTCATGCCTGCTAAACAGATGCATCACTATCTGCAGAGCTACACTTCAGTTATGTCAGAGTCCCTCTCCAAATTTTGGGGTTTCCTTTTTGTTTTTTTTTTTTTTTTTTTTTTTGTTTTTTGACTAATCCAGCGTCCCTAAACTTTTTGGCCATGAGGAAAAAGAACATTTTGGGTAGTGCAGATGTTTATTCGTCCACTAAAGAAATGGACCAATAATTGACCTGCACCTCAACAAATGGATGCTGCTGAAAGCATGCTGTACTTCAAGGAGATTCAAGACTGGTTACCGACACAAAATAGTGACGCTCTGGTGAAACGTACTAGTTACCTAATGTGCTATTAGGCAGCTGTTTTTGCCTAACTGGTGAATTCCTGTTCTGTGTAGGCAATATTCCCTAACAGATTAAAGACAAAAAGTGCAATTTCACCCAACATTTTTCTGCATTTCCACAGAGTTCTGTAGGATAACGTGGTTTTAATTTATCATTTATAAAAGACCAGAGTTTATACCAAAAAAATCCAACAAACATGGACCTCTTTAAATGTTGTTGTTTGGTTTGTTTTCTTTTGGTTGTTTTTTCTCAAAAGTCTGTGACTTCTTTTGCCCAACGTTCTAAAGTGGACTCTAATTCTTGAGTTGAAATATAAGTCTCTTATCACTGATATATTAGCTGTATACCCTGTTTTGTTAAAACATCATAATCAAGAAAGTTTCAGTGGAGAAGGCAGATGGTTAAAGAAAAGTATTTCACAAAGTTTCCTTTGCTTTCTGTATTATTGGCACCTTTCTTCTGCCTCTTTTCAGCTTTCTCTTTACCTTCCCCCCCACAACCTCCCTTTGCCCCATTTGATAAGAAACTGAGAAAAGTTATCTGCTGCCAAAATGTAAGCTATTTTCCTGATGTGTTTAAATAGCTGGTGTACCAGGAGTTCGTGAAGTGAGAGATGCCGCAGTATTACACGTCATGATTGTGTTCTTTATCCAAGAATCTCAATATATACTTAGTGATACAATTACTGAGTTTTAACAAAAATGTTGGAATCTCCCCTGTTTTTCAGATAGAAGATTTTACCAAACAAATGGAAATGAAGATGAGAGGTTGGCAACTTGCCCCAGGCCACAATGGAAATTTTTTTTAGCTTTAAATAAAGCAGATCTTCTAGTTCCCATTGTTTGCCTTAATCACTAGCATATCCTAGCAGCCCTGTTTCTTCAGCATCACCACCTCATCATTTGAAACTTCTAATGTCTTTATTGCTGTCACATTATCTTACCTTTTAGAGTGGTTCAAAGACAGAAGACTGGCTGAATGGATTGTTACGTGGATTGCATTAGGTACCCCTACAAAGGGGCCTATTCTTTATATACTGTCATAGTGCTGGCACCTTGTAAGCATATGAGAAAAGAAGAAAGAGCTTGCCAATTGTGTACATACATGGACCGAGCTTTAAATTTTTCCACTCCTACCTGAAAGGTTTTATATATACACTATATAGTCAGTTGTGTGATACAAAGCAGTAGCAAGCTAGTAGTACATGTTTTATTATTAATTCAAAGGTCTCTTAAATTTTGCTTTTTCCGTCCCCTCTCTCTCTTTTAGCTTGGCGATACAAAGCTCCTCAGCAAGTTATATTTGTTGAAAAGTTGACAAAACTTGTTGTAAGTCAGCTGCCCAACTTCTGGAAGCTCTGGATTTCTTACGTGAATGGAAGCTTATTCAGTGAGGTATGGATTCTTCTATATAAATGACTTTTAAGTAACAAAGCTCCATAATAATTACTATATTTCACTGGAAGAAGTGACTGGGCTTATTTTAATCAGAAAGGTTTATAAAACAATATGTAGACTCTTAACACGTTTGAGAGATGCTACCTTGAATAGTAACCTGTCTTGCAGTACTAACCTATAGAAGTGAGACTCTTTTATTTTTAAAAGAATAAAAGCATACAATGGAATTACTTAAAATTCTGCCAGTCGTGTGTCTGTGTGTGTTCCAGATGCTGGAGTCAATATCCATGTAATTTCACCTCTTACTCATAGCTGGCCAGCTGCCCTTCATTGGTGATCTGAAGAAATAGCAAATTGCATGAAGGATAGAGATAGTAAAAGACAAAGTCATACAGAAAAAAAAATATTTCCTTTCTTTGGAACAAGAGTACTAATTTCTTGAGCTTTGAGTATTTGGAAGTGAGTATAGGTTCAAGACCAGAGTTGCAAAATGGTCAAGGCCCAGAGTGGTGTGCACAGACATACTATAGGGAGTCTAGTCTGGAAGTGCAGTCAGCTGCAATCACCGGTGCTTCTAGTCCTTCTTGCTCAGATGATCTGTTTTTTACAAATTATGTAAATAAAATATAATGTTGATAATCCAAGAAGTAGGGAAAAAAAGTAATGATTCATGACGTGTCATTTTTATATGCACTCTATTAACAGATTTTGAAAGGATACATTTCATAATTAATTTGATATGGGTTGTATACAGCTTACCATCATAATCGTTACTAGATAAATACAATAGCTTTTGGGTTTGTGTTATTGCTAAAATTTGGTCACAGAATTACATTGTTTTACAGAGAGTTCACTTCTGGTACTCAAGCTATGTTGTATCTTCTCCAGACGGAGAACTGTAGTGATGGCACATTCCCAAGGAGCAAGCCTGACAAAGACAAATCCATGACTGAAGTGTAGTGAAAGGCAGCTCTCTGTTCCATCAACAGATGATAAGGCACTAGTTCACACCTCATCTGCAGAGCTATCACTGGGAAGTCCTGCTGGCTGCAGCTTGGACTCACTCATTCTGGGTCCTAAAAAACTCTGAAAACAAGGTCTGTAAAGAGATGTAGAGACAGTTGGGATAATACAGAGCAGGTGGAAAATAAACAAGCTTTTGGACATATTCAGATCAGCTTCTGTATCGAACCTAAAAGTTCGTGCATCTAAAATTTTCTGTTTAACTGTTGCTATATCATTTCATTTGTTGGGATTGTTTTTATCCTGCCATGCTTACAGTGTCCTGCTGTGCTTAAATCCTTAAGTCATCACAGCTACAGTATGCCATTACAAAATTATCCCTAAAGCAGAACTACAGCCATAGCTATCTACTATTCTTTGTAGCTTTAGTAGAAAATAAAACAAATTAACCTTGGGAAAAGGAAATTTGGAAGCTTATTTTGTCATTTTCCTTTTCTCTGACTAACTAAAGAATTAATTTGTCAAGCAGTCATTCTATTTATTGCCACTGTCTGTAAAACAATATGATGTTTTCATATTATGATACTAATAGGTAGTATAGCCCTTTATATGTTGAACACAATATACAGAGCATTATAGCTTCAGTGAAATAGATTTTATTCGTGGTACTCATTTTACATTATAAAATCAAAAGAAAGATATGACATTTACTCATAACGTTCAGTGAAGGAAGTAGAAGCAAGAATAAACCTTAGTACTGTTGACTTTCACAAAAATAATTAATTTCATAAGGGAATTGACAATCTTTATATTTGACAACAGTACCATTAGAAATTATACTTTACAAATTCACCTGTTAAGTTATTGTGATTTTTTTTTCTCTGAGTACAATGAAAAAGAAAGCAATTTCTAGAGAAACAGAGACTTGAACTGTAAACAAGGTTGAGAAATTCTGCTCATAAATGACTGCAAGTGGAAAATGCAGTGATCTTATGTCATGTCTGAACAAAACATTGTTTCCATGTATTTAAAAAAAAAAAAAAAAAGAGGAGGAGGTCGTTTTCCTGTTAGTCTCTAAAGTACATCTACTCTTCTGTTGGGCCAGATTCTGAGCTTGTAAGAAATTAATCCACATACATTTGATTTCTTCTGCTCCTTTGGTCCTTATGGAAGCCCCCCAGGTTCCTGGGGAGAGAGCAGGGATGGTGCCCTCAGTTCTTCTTGTGTGTTCTGCATGCCACAGTCAACTGAGGGAGAGTAGAAGGAGGGGGTGGCATAAGCTAGAAGCTTCTAGAGCACCCAGGAGTATCTGTCACAACATTGCATTCAAGACTCAAGTTTTACATGTTTTTTATCAGAAACGATACAGATTTTAATTGTCCATGAAGAATTTTTTTTTACCGTGTCACTTGCTATTTATTGTCATTCAGGAAGCAAAGTGATTTCTATGGTTTTTTTAAGAAAAGTCCTGTGAAAATGGTATAGAGGGTCATTTCAGTTAGCTTATTCAAGTCTTCAAGACATTTTAAAAACGTGGAAAGAAAATCCCCACATATGAGTAACAAGCCATATTTATTTTCTCTTGATCAGTTTGTAGGTTTTTGGGGGAGTGTTCTTTTTAGTTCTGAAAGGTTAGCTATATGCCTTAAAATATTGTCAGTTAAAGATTTATGTGGTATTTTCAACAGTTTAAAAAGTTGAGTTCTTTGAATCACTCTAGGTGAAGTAGCATATGTGAGTAGTAACCGTTGGTCTTACCACAAGATAGTTTTGGTCTGTCTGTGCAGGAAAGGTTTAAGATTGGTCTTCAGGAAAACCACTAAGAAAAAAAAAAAGATATCAAAGATCTGTGACTTTTTTTGTTGTTCTTTAATCCAGCTGTAAAACAGTGTGAATTTTAAGTTGATACCCAAGGTTTAAAGGAATACAGCTTATTTTCTTTTTAAGGTGTTAGAAGAGAGAAATGGGTATTATATGCAGCAGTAACTCGAGTGTTGTTCTCCTTGTCTGAAACTGTATAATTCAGAGCTTTAAAGTACAAGAGTTTCATAGCTGTGTATTTTCCAAAACTGTTAAGCAGTTTTATTTTTATCTAATTTTTGCTCACTTCACATTACTTATTTTACCTTAAAAATCTGAAATGCTTTAGCTAAAGAGGGAATTTGAAAAATACAGCATTTCAAATTAATGACTTGAAAGTAAACTGATTTGCTTTGAGAACACTCTTGTCATGTTATTGCACTTCCTGTCCAGCAGATGTTGCTGTACATACATAAAATAGGAGATTTTCTAACTATAAAATTCTACATCTGCACTTAACGCAGTATCTGAAATAACTTTTTCGGTATAATTTACTCTACTGTGTTCTCAGTAGAGTCCACAGAAGGCTAGAACTGCAAACAGGAAGACTATTAGTCAAACCATGTTTTTCTTCAACTGTAACTGTCTCATGCAAAGTGTACTCACGTTCCTCGGTTTTCAAAGAAGTGAACTGTCCATGAAGATGCTGATTATTTTGCAGAGTCTCTTTTACAGTTAGTTGAATTATTTAAAGAGCATTGTCAACAAAATGCTGTTCCTAAAAACAACCAACCAACCCTCAACCCTCCCCCTCACATGTTACAGTTCCAAATTGCCCTCATTCCAAGAAGTGTCTCCCACTTGATATCGATGTCCTTCTCTGGGCAGCTTCCATGCTGAGAAAATAGAATTTCTTCCTATAAGCTTGATGCACATTGGACTCTGTATGTTTTAGCTCTCACTAACATTGCCGTGAGAATACTTTGACATCATGAAGTTCATATTGCTTGAGCTATTCTTTTATGCTTGTCTCTGACTTTGTCTTAAATACACATTGTTCCTCAGAATTAAACATTAGCACACTGACCTACAATAAGTAGATTTTATTGAGATATATAGTCTTTGTTTATTGAGATGCCATGAGTTAGTTTTTGTAATTGCATCATAAACTCATCAGTTTTCACTTCTTCACTTTGAAACCCCCTTTTTCAGAATTATTTTAACAGTGGTTATGAGATACTTACACTTTTCAATTTTCTCATTTTCACAAGACTGCTGAAAAATCTGGCCAAATGGAAAGATCAAAGAAAAACGCTAGGCAAAGACAAAATGATTTCAAGGTAAGTTGTGGGGGGAAAGCCTTGCTTTCTTTCAGCTGTCCTTCATAGCAAGATACCTAAGTGTCACCACCTTGAAAATCAGATTTCTTAAATCATCTGTGTGCCCTTATACCTCCTTCTCCTCTACTCTCTACCATGTGGAGCCACCTGTAAATCATACATTCCAAGCTGTTGTGTAGCAAGTACATGGCTGCTTGAGCACATTGATAGAGCTTTTTGCTTGATTTTTCTTTCCCTTCTTCTGATGCAGAAAATGATTCAGGAAGTGATGCACTCTCTGGTAAAACTTATCCGTGGAGCTTTGCTTCCATTCAGCCTCAGAGAAGGAGAATCAAGACAGTATGGTGGCTGGGAGATGAAATCTGAACTTTCTGGCCAGTGGCTAACACATGTTATCCAGACTGTAAGGTAAATGGATCTGTGGACCTACAAAATGATGCTATTCCTGGAATATGTGTCCTTTAAGACAAATTGTTTTATTTATTGCATTAAATACCCTGAGCAGTGAGAATCTTAACTTTTTCAAAAATAGGATTACAAAAGAATTACTTATGGCAGATTTAGGATTCTGTATGCAAGTGTAATTAATAATGTCTCATGATATAACCTTATTAAGTAATGATACATTCATTTTTTTCCATAGCATCTTAGGAAAAAGTTTGAATAAAATATTTGCGTGGCACAGCATAGACACTCCATGAATGAAACAGGATTTGATTCTTTAGGGTAGAAAGCAATTATCTGCTTCATTTGCTACACATCTTCCCATCTCTGCCAAAATGGGTGAAAATAGCATGCTTCTCACTATAGTATCATTCTTAAATCATAATTTACTTTTACAGTTGTTTTATAGAAGGTGATGCTCCTGCTTATAATGTCATTCTGCTTATAATTAAGTTATAAACTTAGTAATGTACAATTCATTAATTACAAAATGTCTCATTAATACACAGAATTCGCTTCCCTTTGTCTATGGAGGATATAAGAATTATCATTATCTTTTGGAAACTTGAGTAATACCTGGATATGATACTGTACTTTTTATCTGCAGTTTTCAAAGTAGGTAACAAGCAAAGCACAGAGGAAGAAAAGAAAGGGGTATAATCACATATAGATATTCTTACTGCGGATGGAGCTAGCAATGATACATACCTGTTGTCAAGTCTGTTTAACACTTTCCCGAGTCTGTTGTCAGTTACATTATCTGTACTTTAACCATTGAGAAGAAAAATTCCCATGTGAAGTTTCTCATTCTGGCTGAATTTTATGGAAAGCTTCCAATTTAAGAAGGAACTGACTTGGTAGATGATGAAAAGATGTAAAGGGGCAAGGGAACAGTCTTTGGCACCAGTGTTGCCCTTTTATGAGAAGCAATCCAATTTCACTCAAATTATAAAATTCTAGAATTTAACACTTGCACATCTGTAACATTGGCTTGGAAATTTAACCAACAGATTCTCTAAAGGTTGGTTGTGCTTCAGAGTCCTGCCATGCAAGGTGTGATCCAGGCTGAGGTTATAGGTTATGTGAAGGCTCTTTTTCAGAGAATCTCCTCTTGCTTTCTGGCCGCTGCCCTGGTAATGAACAACTGAACTGAGAGCTGGGGAAATTCTCTCTCCCTCCCACTCTTTTCCCCACCTCATGTTCTTTACTGATGCCTGTGCTGGCACTTAAAGTGAGCTAGACTTTAATGCAAAGCAGTCAAAAATAGAGAGGAAAAGGGGCAATCTGGAGAGGAGGAACTGAACATACCATGATGGAGTACCGACCAGTGATGACCAGGTCAGAAGTTTTTGCAAGTGCTACAAGTACTTTTCTTTTCGAGCCCCCACACTCTTTGACAATCTAATAAATTCTTGTGACTCACACCAACGATGAAGGTGGACTCTTCTCATGAAGAGTCCACACATTGCATAAAAACCTTATTTGTTGCAAAGTTATGTAATAGCTTACGTTTTATTTTTATAGTTCCTAACATGAAGCACATGATAGAATTTTACTCTCTTCAGTCATCTCACAAATGATTTACCATTTTCTGCTTGTATTTAAGAATGCTAAAACTTACAAAATTAGATAACAAGGAGTTGGCGTTACATCCGTGTGATCTTAGTTTTTCTGCTTGTTTATATGTATCACACATCTTAAAGTGGGGTGGTTGCACGGTCTTTCTCTTGTCCCCCATTCTGTCATTGCCCCGTTTGAATAGGTTCTAGAGGATAAATTAGAGCTATGCAATAAGGTGAAGCCGTTGTCAGCAAGACCTTCACCTTGTAAGGATAGAAAGGTATGTATTTGTTAGAGCGAGTTATATGAGGAAAAGATGGTCTTAGGGATGTGACAGCTGTGTGCTCCCGTAGAAGTGGAATCAACTCTAAGTACAGGCCTTCTGTGCGGTCTAAAGTCACTTAAACTTCTCACAGATGGGTATTTACATCCTGTGTTTCCTGGGTGGCTGCGATAGTGCAGATTTATGTAATCTACTAATTCAGTAGTTGTGCTGAGCAGATAGCAGTCTTGGGTAATGGTGGGGTTTTGATGGTTTATGCCCAACACCGAGGGTAAGGAACTGGAGCCTACAGGTGGATGATTGGAAATGTTCCACTGATTACTCAAACTTGTTTGCTTGTGCCTTCCTACTCCTGTTCTTTGGCATTTTCTAGTACCTGTGCTTTGCTCAGTATTAGCAGTAGGGCAAACAGCAATGACTGCATTTGAATTATGCTTAAATATGCAAGAGTTGGATAAAAGCAGTAAACCTTACTTTGTGCCCCTAACTAAAGTCTGAGCACAACTGCAGCCTTTTAGTTAAAAGCTGAAATGCTATTCCTTGTAAGCAGCTGCTGTGTTACTATTTCTAAAGGAAAAAAATGGAAACGAATGTTTCCATCCTCAGCTATAGTAGCTAGTGATTTGTGCCCAGTCAGAGCTGGGAGCAAAACAGTGAACGAATTCTCTCTTCAGAGGTGATGCAGTAGCTGTATTTTGGCTCCTTAAGTGTGTGCACTCTTGGCAATCTGATGCACAGCCACATCACCATTTATGGCAGCTTGATGGCTGTTAGTTGTAAATGCAGGTAAACAATATCTCAGAAACCCTGTTGTAGGCCTAGGATTTGATCTAGGCATTCACCTAAAAACAGCAAAAAAGCTACTTCTGCTCCAAAAGGATTATTCTTGGATTGTAAGGCAAAAGATCATAGAATCATAGAATCATTAAGGTTGGAAAAGATCTCTAAGATCATCGAGTCCAACCGTCAACCCAACACCACCATGCCCACTAAACCATGTCCCTAAGCGCC